CTCCCCCCTACCCCCCCCCCCCCACGCCTCATCAGCCTCAAAAAGATGGGTCACATATTTCTACTATTTGCAGTGGTGTAATGTGTCCTTTGGGGAATGTTACACACAGATCGCAGTGTGATTTACTTACAGACAATAGATGCGAATCAGAGTCTATTCATTTCATTTGCTTCCACCATCAAGGAAGAAAAAAATTAATTGTGTGGTTAGTGGTAGGGGGTCCTTTTAGGGGCCCGATGGGAACATTTTTAAAAAATATATTTTTCTTTTTTTAGAGAGAGGAAGGATGAGGGATATTGAGCCTATAATCTGGGCATGTGCCCTGATGGGAATTGAACGGGGGACCTCTTGGTTAATGGGTTGATGCTCAACCAATGAGCCTCACTGGCTGGGTCCAATGGGGAATTTGACCAAAGCCCTTTCAGAACAATGCACATACCTGTTTTTCTTCATGATATGCTCAAAGGGTCTCAAAAAATCTTTCTGGAAACGGAAGTTGGCTAATTCTCCCTTCTCAAGAAACTTCATGGAAAGTTGCCTTAATGAGTCAACAGCAAAGATAGCCACATCTTCATTAGGGTTACAGCCAACCTGAGCAGAACAGGATGTAGAAAAAGGCACAGTGAAACAACTGTGGATGTGGGGTTCTGAACCTCAAAAATGGACATCCTGCCTTTAAAATAAATGCTCTGGGAAAACACACCAAAGGAGAAAAAAAATGGTTATTTTAAGGCTATGACCTGTATAATTTTATTTAAGTTTAATGATGAAAGTAATGCACATTTAGTTAGAAGTTCTTTCAAATGTGCTAATTTGTTAAAAATTGTGGCAAAATACACATAACACAAAATATATCATCTTAACCATTTTTAAGTGCACAGTTTAGTAAAGACATTCACATTGCTGTACTACCAGAATTCTCTTCAACTTGCAAAATTGAAATTATATCCATTAAATAATTCTCTCCATGTGCTATTTAACTTTATACAAATACGCATGACAGGTCAAAAGACTTGGAAGTCTCTGTAAAGCCTCTTCATACTGCCCATGTTTGCCGCCTAAAGCAAGATCATACATGTGTATCATCAGTCTCAAAAAATTCAGTAGAAATAGTGAGGCTTTTCAATTCCCTTAACATTAGACTTGTCTGTGGCTTACCTACTTTTAGGGACTGAAGTTATGGGTGTATTTTGGTTGGTACTTCTTAGACTTCTCCCTCAAGAAGAAACCCTAACAGCAGAGCAAGGGAATATTTCTCACAAGAATCCCTGACAAAGGATCTAAACCACATGCAGGAGCCTGCTCCAGGCGAGAAACTTCACTGACACGTGGCTGACTGGAAATGTTTGAATTTTAACAAAAGTCATCATTTAGAAAAAAAAAACCAAAAAACGATCAATAGGAAAATGACTACATGATATGTTCAGATGGAATAATGTTTGGCAATTAACAAGAAAGAATGAATCCAGCCTCATAAAAAGAAGGAAATTCTGTCAAAGGCTACAACATGGATGAACCCTGAGGACATTATACCAAGTGAAATAAGTGAGACACAAAAGAACAAATACTGCACGATTCCATTTATATGAGTACCCAAGGTCATCAAATTCACAGACAGAAAGTAAAAAGTGGTTTCCAAGGACTGGGGAGAGGAAGGGATGGGGGTCGTTACTTAATGGGTACAGAGTTTCAATTCTGCAAGATGGAAAGAATGCTGGAGATCACCACAAGGAATGTACTTAACACTTCTGAACTCTACATTTATAAATGGTTAAAATGGAAAATTCTGTTATGTATGTTTTACTACAATTAAAAAAGAATAAACTCATATATTCTAGCATAATTAAGAAGCAAATTACAAAATATGTGTAATACTATTTATGTTTTTTAAAAAAGTAAAACAAACCAAGACAATATTATCTATATTTCTATGAGTACCTACATATGCATGTGTATAGAAAAATGTCTGGAAAGATATATACCAAACTGATCAGAACAACTAGTTTTGGGGGGTGTCCTGTTGGGGGTGGTGATGGTCAAAGCTGTTTTTAGATACAATTTTTTTTAAGATGTTCATGTAATGTTTATATAACTAGAGACTAATAAAAATATATCCCCATCCTAAAAATCCAGGAGAATTCAGGAATTCCTGTTTCAGAAATACACAGCAGGCTTACTGTGCAGCTTCGCATACCCTAAGACACACATGTGCCCTAGTTTAGAAGAAAAGAAACATGTGATTGTTCCAATGGCTCTGCTAGAATCCCCAGAGCTAAGTTACAGCTGTACTTAGCCATCCATTTCTTTAAGCCTCGAGATTCTCATGTGCTCCAGTTCCCAAGGGAAGCAGACATCTTTCTGAGGTGGTGGAAAGAATAAAAAGCCCCAGGGCGAGCAACTGAATTTTCCAAACTTTGTGCTTAACGGCACCGATTAGATGGAATGAAGTTGACAACCATGAAATGTCTAAGCACTATCTGCCAGCCCACGTCCCACGCTCGCCCAGAAGTGACCCAGTGATAACTGAGAACTGGCATGAAGTCTTGACAACAGAATTGCAGGTCGGAAAGGGACTTGTAAAATCAATGCTCCCCACCAAAAGCAGTTGAACCGAACATGAAACCTAGACTTCCAGCAAGTTCATATCAATCATGTCAACTGGTCCACTAAAAGTTTATTTACCCGAACAGTGGGAAAGATGGTTGCTAAATGAGTTGACTTTAGATGAATGAGTGTCACTATTCACTCAGCGAACAGTTGCTCTGGGTCATCTTCAGACTCTTGTGGCTGTTTCCTCACTGAGGGTTCAGATGAAAGGTCACATCCACAGAGGACTGACATACTGTGTCACCTGACCCTTTACCATCGATTATTTTATCATAAAATGTGGGTGAACTCCCTGAGGGCAGGGACCTCATCTGTCCATTGCCTGGTATAAGGCACTCAGGTAGTTTGTTAAACAGATGTTGTGAGGTACCCTACTTGGAGCTAATAAGGACACAAAGTAAACAAAAACTTTGATTAGTTGATGTACCAAGTTAGAAGCCAGGCTACATCTGACAATGCCTTATTTCTGTAGGGCCCTGGAGCAGGCTAGCAGCTGCCTGTGAGAACCAACAGTGTCCAACTCTTCCTTAGTCGACACAATTAGCGGCATCCTATTCCTAGCCTCAAACTGGTCCCTGGGGGTGGGGAGGAGCACCACAGAAATTCGCAGATGCTACAAATTCTTTACTGGCACTCTACTGCTTCTTCCAGATTCAATGGCAGACAACTTCTTTTTACGATTTTTCTTCTATTCAGTGTAGAGAGTGACTCTCTTTTGGGTAAATTGTTTTTTTTACTATTTTTAAGCGTCTGTATTATAACTCTGTATTATTATATCTCCAGGCCTGTGAAGTGTGTTTTGGTAGGGAACAGTGTTATTAAGCTGTTACTTTTCCCTTATGAAGCAAATAGCATCACAAATACATACATACACATATAATACATACATATTCTTCTGATTTCTTTTTCTTTGGTCAATATAGGTGTGCATGTGTCTACCTGTATATAATGAAACCTCTGGTGGAGAGAAAGTTTAGTCTGGCTTTCTCTCACTAGTTGTCAGTTTCAGAGCACAGAAGGTTCTTGCTTAGTTCTAATTAAAAAAAAAAGTGTTAGTTTACTCGACAAAGGTTTCAGAAAAGGGGTGGCAATAGAAGTTAGGATAGAATGGAAGTGACATTTAATAGAGAAACTATATGGAACATAAGCTTTTCAGAAAGCACTTTAGGATTTCATAATGCTTTCAAATACCAATATGTTTGTTGAGTGACTATAATGCTCTTTGTGATGTTAGCCTATGTCCTGGATGTGGGATATAGAAGTTTTTGCACAGCCTGAATTCATAATTCATTCTCTATGAGTTCTATCGATATGTAAGTATGCTATTGGTCCTACTGAGCTGTCTTCGACTCCACAAGGAAAATGAATGATAGGCACCTAAACTCTCATCACTTCACTTCTTTTTAAAATTTAATTGCCTGCTTGTTTTTGACATCGATGGAATAATTTTGAAATTTGAAGAGTTACCTTGTTGAAGTGATCGCCAATCACATGCCATATTCGGGACCACTGCAGTCGGATCCGATTCATGTTGTAGTACGATATCTCCACAATCTTCTGTAAGCTGAACATGCGGGGATGATGTGGGGAAGCCAACTCGTCCATGGACACGGCACACAGCCAACGGACAAAATCAACTACAGGCCAAACGCAACAACACATGCAAGGCCTCGTTAGTAATGGTCAGTCACAATATGAGGCGTCTGTAGTTGTCACAGAAGAGTCACATACATACCTATTGCATTTCCATCCAGTCTAGTAGATCCAGTAAAAATTCTGGGAAGGTAATTCCAGACATAATAAAATAAAAATTAGATTTGGAAGCCTAAGTTTCAATCTCAAACAATCTTAGGAAAGGGAGAAAGGAAACATTTCAGGTCTGGTATCTCCACTTTAAAATAAATGCTGAAGCATCAGAGGTACAGAACTGGTCAATGAATTGCCTTGAGAACAGAAATGCCTACATTGACAGAGAAAGTGACACATCAAAAGGAGGGGGTTCCCTGACCGGTTTGGCTCAGTGGATAGAGCGTCGGCCTGGGGACTGAAGGGTCCCAGGATCGAGTCTGGTCAAGGGCATGTACCTTGGTTGCGGGCACATCCCCAGTGGGGAGTGTGCAGGAAGCAGCTGAATCCATGTTTCTCTCTCATCGATGTTTCTAACTTTCTATCCCTCTCCTTCTTCCTCTCTGTAAAAATCAATAAAATATATTTAAAAAAAAAAGATGGTTTGGCTCAGTGGATAGAGCGTCGGCCTGCGGACTGAAAGGTCCCAAGTTCGTTTCCGGTCAAGGGCATGTACTTTGGTTGAGGGCACATCCCCAGTAGGGGGTGTGCAAGAGGCAGCTGATCGATGTTTCTCTCTCATCGATATTTCTAAATCTCTATTCCTCTCTGTAAAAAGTCAATAAAATATATTTTAAAAAAAGAGGAGGGAGGAAGAGTTAAAACTTGTTAGCATGTGATGTCACCACAGTGGGAGTGGTTTAGTGAGGACTTCCAAAACGCTGCTCTTCCATAACAGCAAAAAAACTGGCAAAAAATTACCAAAATCAACATTTTCAGAACTGAACTTTGGAATTACCAAAGGCTTATAAAAATGTTTATTCAAGAAAAATGGCTTAATTTTAGTATGAATTGTGAACATTATGGCATTTTTAACTTGCCACAATTTGGTCACAAAGTTAAAGTTGCAATTTTTTTAAAAAGGTCATGATGCAATTCAAGGTCAAAATCGAAATGAATGTGAAGGCTATTAGCAGTTATGGATCACGCAACACTTTGAACAGTTCTTAGTTTGAGTGATCTGGAACTGACAACATTGACAACAGTCAAACATACTAGGAGTCATTCACCTAGTAAGTACAAAGGGCAGCGATTTTCAACTGCTGTTCCCTAAGAATTTTTTAAAATATATTTTTATTGATTTCAAAGAGGAGGGGAGAGGAAGAGAGAAATAGAAGCATCAATGATGACAGGAAATCATTGATTGGCTGCCTTCTGCACTCCCCACACGGGGGGACTGAGCCCGCAACCCAGGCATGTGCCCTTGACCGGAATCGAACCTGGGACCCTTCAGTCCGCAGGCCAACGCTTTATGCACTGAGCCAAACCGGCCAGAGTCCTAAAAATTTTTACAATATGAACTACCTGACTATTTAGTCAGGGGCACTGAGCTCTTTTTCCCTTAGATTGTCAAATAAAAATGACAACAGCCAACACAACAAAAACCATCTGGTGTAAATGAATAAAAATATTTTACCTATTTTTTTTTGTCAGATCAGCAACAAATAGATTTTTTTGGTGTGCCACAGAACTTTAGTAATTGGTTTATATGTGCCATAAGATGAACAAGGTTGAAAATTGCTGACACAGGACGCCAAGCCCCTGGGTGGTCCAGCTTCACTGGAGAGAAAAGTCATTACCTGTCTACAGCTACAACCACACTCTGGGAGCTGGTCTCCCCAACCGATTCCTGGAAACTGGCCATCTGTCTTTTATCCACTCCACCACTCACCAAATTACCTGAAACACAATGCACAAAACCAACAGTGTTTCCAAACAGGCAAGTATGCAGCACACAGTATCAACATGCAGACAAAAGACACAAATGAGAATGGTTTGCAGGCAAAAAAAATCCTCAACTGCTGATGGAATAAAATTAAACTTGGGTTTTGGGGTTTGGCTTTTAAAATGAATTCTTATACTTTCCCTTGTTTGTATTAATCATCTCTCTTTCTTCATAGTGTTTTACATTTTTATAGTATTAAATACCTATTATTAAGGAAAACAAATTTGAATTAATGGACACTAACCCAGAGCTTCTAGAATATGTAATGGCTTACACCTGCTGAATGTTCAGTATAATGTTCCAGGATTTCACCCCAATCACCCTCACATGCACCCTAAGAAGTAGGTACTATTACAACACCCCATTTTCATAGAGTCCATGCTTCTAACTGCTACATTGTGCTACTCTAACCACTGTTTGTGGGACCCAGGAGCCTGCTCTCTGCAATCAGATGGCCTGGGTTTGAACTTACCTCTGCCACTGGTTTGCAGGGTGGCTTTGTACCTCACTTTATCCTCTGTACCTCAACGTTCCTCATTTACAAACTGGGATAATAGTCCCAATCTCACTGAGAACTTAGAGTGTGGCCTGCATACCTGTTTGCCCTACTTACTATTATTATTGTGTTATATTAGTGACAGGAGCCTCTCAATCCAACATATAGGCAGACATAATTCTATTTTCATAATACCATTTTAAAAAGCCCCCCAAATGAACATGGAAGAGAGGTTGACTCCACCTTTTAAAATCTAGAGATGCACATACCCACTCCTCTAATAGGAGGTACCAAAGCTGTAGCCTTTCTAAAGAAAGCGGCTTTTCCTCCCAGTATAGTTTTATGTACTAGTGTATAGAGAAAAGAATGCACCCTGCTGATTTTGATAAAATTGGCATTTCTTGATAGTTTCATGACAACTAAGACTGCTGAAGCAGCACTTGCATTAGTAAACATACTGTCAGCTGGCATAGAAGGAAGAGACGGTTTAGGAGACAGTCCTGGTGAGACAAAAGTGTTTCATTCTGGTTAACCTGTGAGTCCGTGATGGCCAGCTGTGGGGCCTGGAGTCTTACCGAGACCGAGGCCCATGAACTCTTCTCCCACCAATGTGTGGCCCTTCAGGCTCCCCTCTCTTTCACGCCCAGACCCAGACAGGTAGCGGGTCTTCACACCGGTTCCTATGAGCTGAGCGAGCTCTAGTTGGCTGATACACTTCAAGATCTAATGAAAAGAAGGCATGAAGAAATGAGGTCCCATTTTATAGCCTAAATTAGTGTGATATTAAATTAGTCATTAAAGAGTTCTTTGAAACACACAGCTTTTCAGTGAGAATAAAATCTGAGAGTGTTGCGGGGAGGGAGGGTTTCCCTAATCCCAGAATGTAGGTCTGGACAACAGATTTCACTTAAAAAACAACAACAAACTATTAAAAAGAGAAAGAGAAAATGAGCAAAATAAAAGCTGGTACAACGGAAGTTATGCCATATAAATGTTTATGCAAATTTAGTAAGTTTTCAAGACAGAAAAAAAGGTATTTGACTAGAGAAGGAGATTCCATCCATCATGCCACTCAATAAGTGCACCATCTATTCTGACTTAGCCACCCCACCTCCTTTCTACTCTACACAATTCACTAGCCTCCCTGCTGTTCCTTTAACTTGACATATCTAGTCCTACCCCAGGGCCTTTGCACTTGCTGTTTCTTATGCCTGGAACATGTTCATTATACTCTTCCCCTTGGCTCACTCCTTAGATTCTCAGCTTAGGCATGTGTCCTTAGAGACACCTCCTTTGACCACCCCAAGATCACACACCCTCCCTTGGTCACATATTTTCTAACATTATACCATATAATTATTTGTTTGTTCTCTGTCTTAAGTGCCAACAGGGCATTAACTCCGTCTTGTTCACTGCTGAATTCCCAGCACTTAAAAATAGCTGGCAACTATTACTTGGTTAACTGAATGAATGAACATGTGCCCTAGAGTGGACGTGCAGTGGGAGAAAAGAGTATCTTCCAGCCCTGTGGGTGGTTCTGGTGCTTGAGATTGCATACCTACACCCAAGCCTCTCTCACCTTGAGCTTACCTAAAGAAACAAATGAGTTTCAGCTTCTCCTGGAGGGAAAGCTAGCCTCATGAAACTCACTGAAGGGTGGTGCACACATCTCTAGATAAAGCCCTCCTAAGGAATTTTCATGGGAACTTGTGAATAAAACTGAGTTTTGCCTTTCATACTGATCTTACAATCCGATCCCAGAGGACAGGGCTCCACTGTGCCACTGAGCACTGCTGAGTAACTTTACTTATAAACTGTCTTCCCCTTGACTGAGAAAGGTACTTAATTTTACCAAAGAAAGCCATTCCCTGGTTGGTCCACAAAGCATACTATTAAATTATTACAAGTAAACTATTAATGCCCCCACTCCCCCTTCCAGAAGCTGGGGATAGCTAGAATCTCAAGTATGTGAATACTCGTGGCCAAAAATTTTTTGGCTCTAACCTGATTTCTCAAGGTTTCTGACAATCAAATAGGTGGTTAATTCATTTTTAATATTTCCAGGTGCTGCAAATGCTTGGCAACCAGTAGAAACCCCACATGGATCATACCTCCCAGGTTAAAAAAATAATTGTAGGAGAGAAAGCAACTATTCATGAATTCACTAGGTATTAAGACACCTCAGAAGACAGGAAATTATTTTTTAATTAATTTTTTCTTTAAAGAAAGAGGAAGGGAGGGAGGGAGAGAAAGAGAAAGAGAGAAACATTAATTTGCTGTTCCACCTATCCATGCATTCATTAGTTACTTCTTGCATGTGTGCTGTCTGGGGATAGAGGATTGAACCCACAACCCTGGCACATCGGGATAATGCTCTAACCAACTGAGCTACCCGGCCCGGGCAGGAAATTATTTCTTTAAAAAAGTACCCAACTTATAAAAAGCAAAACACCCATTCTCCATCTTTGCTAACATGAAATACTCCAGAGTTGTATAGAGAAAGGAAAGGACGGATGAAAAGGGACAAAGGTCTGTGCCATGATGATCATGATAATAACTAACAATACAGTTCTAAGCCCTTTTGTGCATATTAACTACTTTCATCCTTACAACAACACTGTGAAGGTTGTAGAGAGGAAGAAGGTGAGGCTTCAAGATGAAGTAACCACCATGCCCTACAGGCAGGCAGAGGTGGAAGTCCCGATCAGACCCCTGCAGTTTGACTCCAGGCAGTTTCCCGTAACTACTCAATCCCTGGGTGGGGGAGGAGGCTAACAGCAACCCCCACCACAGCCCCCACCACTCAATATTCTCGTCTCTCTTCTTAATACTTTTCTCTCAGGACAAAAAGTAACATGTGTACATGGTAGAGAAATATGAAAATAGCATTTAAGGGGAAAAAAATAAATCACCTTTATAATTCTATCAGATAGACTATTAACATTTTCAATTTTATATATATATATATTTATTGGTTCCAGAGAGGAAGAGACAGAAACATTAATGATGACAATTGGCACAGAAGGAAGAGAAATCCAGGTTGCCTGATGTCAAACATTCATTGGCTGCCTCCTGCTTGCCTGGGGATCGAGCCTGCAACCCAGGTATGTGCCCTGATCAGGAATCGAACTGTGATCTCCTGGTTCACAGATAAATGCTCAGCCACTGAGCAACATTGGCTGGGGGGGGTGGGGGGTGGGGATGTTAACATTTTTTTGGTTAACCCTCACCCGAGGATATTTTTTCCACTGATTTTTAGAGAGAGTGGAAGGGAGGGGGAGAGACAGAGAGGAGAAACATCGATGTGAGAGTGACACATTGATTGGTTGCTCCCACATGTACCCCGACCTGTGCTGGGGATCGAGGCTGTATCCAAGGTGTGTGCCCTTGACCAGAATTGAACCTGTGACCCTAGTCCGAGGGCCAACACTCTTCCACTGAGCAAAACCGGCTAGGGCAGGATGTTAACATTTTTATTCTTTTTTTTTTTTTTAATATATTTTATTGAGTTTTTACAGAGAGGAAGGGAGAGAGATAGAGAGTTAGAAACATCGATAAGACAGAAACATTGACCAGCTGCCTCCTGCACACCTCCTACTGGGGATGTGCCCGCAACCCAGGTACATGCCCTTGACCGGAATCGAACCCGGGACCTTTCAGTCTGCAGGCCGACGCTCTATCCACTGAGCCAAACCGGTTTCAGCGACATTTTTATTCTTTTAAGCCTCATTCTCTCTGTATGTTTGGCACAAGGGATGAAGTCTCACAGTGTTTTATTATGACTTTCTGATATCCTCAGTATTAGTTTCTAGTAACATCTTTCTCTTTCTCTCTAAAGTCTCTTTAATCCAAAGATCCCCCACTTCATCTACTATTTTTCTTGCAAGTTATTTGTTGAAGAACCTGGTCGTTTGCACTGAGGGTCTATCATACCCTAATCTGCAAACTGCATTCTCATTATCATTTACTGTGCTTCTCTGTCTCCTGCATTTCCTGTGACTGCAGTAGAGGCTCGAATTGATTTAGGTTTGAGTTTTGGGCAAATGTGACTGGTTGTGCATGATGTCTGGTTGTCTCTCCTTTCCGCAACATCATTTTAAATGGCTATGCAACAAAGAACTGGTGTACCACACTTTTTTAAAAAGAGCAATTTCTCATTGTTGGAACCTCTAGGCTGTTTTTATTCCAATCTTTTCCTTAGAACTAAAATTTCGATGACCTTACAAGCACATTTGTACACATAATTATGTGAGAATGTTGGAATATTGTTTAGTTAAATGAAAATGTGAACCCACTAGCAATTTCCCTAATGGCTCATTGTAAATGTTGACCGTTTTTTAAAGAGATAACTGGGAGATACATCAGGCTCCTAGCTTTGTCCTGATGGTGAGACCTCCCAGGAGGTGTGTAAGGACTTGGGGAAAGTGGCATTGATGTGGAGCAAAGTTGTCACAATAGAAGTGCACTATGTGAGGACACTGGCCACGGGGTGTAAGATCACCTCATGAGGTGGTGCATCTGAACAAAATCATTTCCCTCAGCACAGCCCTGGAGACTGACCTTTAGATATATGAGGTATTTGTGGATAAGAGAAAACCCAGAGTTAAAGTTAGGCTCGACTTCAAGAAAACTGAAAGTGACCAAAGAGAAAGTGACACTGAATAAAAGGAATGCGGTAGTCACCTTTAACTAAAAAAAGGCAATTACCAGGCTTTCAGAGAGACACACACCTCGTGCCAGGAATTCCCAAGGTAGTTGCCGTCAGTGTGAGCCACTGTGATAAGCGTCTTTATGGTGTCAATGTTCTTCTGCTTCATTTCTGTGATGCTGGAGCTGGCTGTCAGCAGGGAGAAGCGAGCAAGAGCCTGAACATAGGCATCTCGTTCCAGCTGTAATGGAAGCCCAGGAGAGAACATTGAGATCCCACCCTGAGCACGACCGTCTGCACATCGATGGGGCTGGTGCACTGGGCTTCTCTGATACCTTCTGCACACACGACAGGCTTCAGGCACATTAACATGCCCGTTATTCCATGCTGGTGTCTTCCTACTATCAGAACATCCCACTGAGGCTCCCACACACCACATGCTTGAGAACTAGCCCTCTCCCTTTCAAATGACCTCACACTTATGTTCCTGTTCCCTTTCCTTTGGAGGAAGAAGAGGAGGAATCTGCTGAATGCTAACATTATCCTTTAAATTCTAGGATCTGTAACAATCCTGTAAGATAGGTCTATTTTTTCAGGTTTACAAATGAGGAAATACAAGGTGTCTTAGAGAGAAGTTAGCTGGGCCAATGTCACATGGCTAGAGAAATAGCAGAGCGGGGGAGTGAAACCCAGACTGCCTGATGTCAAAGCCTATGGTCTTGGTACAAAAGAAAAGTTTAACTGTAAAATAAATGAGAACAGAAGATTGAGTTTTTAAAAATAAATGGATGCAAATTCTTACTTAGAAAATGAATGGGATTGACAATGTCCTCATTTCATAACAGTTTGAAAATTAATTTTTTTTAAAAAAATATATATTTTATTGAATTTTTACAGAGAGAGAAAGGGAGAGGGAGAGTTAGAAACATCGATCAGCTGCCTCCTGCACACCCCCTACTGGAGATGTGCCCACAACCAAGGTACATGCCCTTGACCAGAATCGAACCTGGGACCCTTCAGTCCGCAGACCAACACTCTATCCACTGAGCCAAACCGGTTAGGGCTGAAAATTAAATTTTATTTGCTAGAATCTTCCAAGATTCAAAAAGTTTACAGACATATTCATTTCCTACTGAACTATTTGCTCCCCCCAGAGAAGCCCGGGAAATGAGGGAATTATAATAAAAGCTGATTTTTAAGCACCAGGGAAGGCAAGTTAGGCAGACCAAATCCAATCAAGTAGCCTGAACTTTCAAAGAAAGTTTTTCAACCGTAAAACCTTTCAGAGAGTTTTAACCCAAACCTCCATTTCCCCTCCTAATGAAGCAGTTGTTAGCACAAATCTGTGGGCTGCTTCTCAGTGGGCACAAGTAAGGAGTGTGCTGAGATTTTGTTTGGCTAATTGGAAATGCCTGATAGTTTCTAGGTTTTGCCAAATCTAAAAGAACACAGCCTACCAGCATCTCTGGAGCTTTGCTAACTTACACCCACCTGCATTCCAAAGATGCAGGCGATCCGGATTGCACAGCGGATGCCCTCCAAACACAGGGAGGCCACTTCAGTGTCATCACAGTTCTGCAGTCCAATGCTGTAGGCTGCCAACAGCGGCGTCCACACCAGCTACCAAGGAAGGAAGGTTTCAATAATGTCTAGAATTTCAGTGGGAAGAGCACTTACAGGCCATACTGTTAGTTATGAGTACAGGCAGGATGCCAAATTCACTGCTATTTTTATTTCAATCTATTCCAGTTACAATATAAAACAGTTCCTCCTAAATGTGGTCAAAGCTGTCACTACAGAGATGCCATATACTACATGTACAGGTCAAAAGAAAGGATGGTAACTATGTGGCTAGTGTGTCACCACTACGCCTACCTGTGCTCACGGAAGACATCACTGATCAATCAGATCCCACAGTGCAACAGGCAGCATTACCAATCAGAGGTTAGCGTGCAAAATAAAACCTATAGGCAACTTATCTCCTATAACTTAGTTAATTAAAAAGAGTCGTAATTCAATTATTTAGACTTTACTTGTCCTCTAATTTTCTTGTGAACTCCCTGAAAAGAAAAGCTCACAAAAATCTAGAATTGATAAACTATGTAGCATTAGATCGTGTTTCTTTTTTATTTTTTAAAAAATATATTTTATTGATTTTTTACAGAGAGGAAGGGAGAGGGATAGAGAGTTAGAAACATCGATGGGAGAGAAACATCGATCAGCTGCCTCCTGCACACCTCCCACTGGGGATGTGCCTGCAACCAAGGTACATGCCCTTGACCGGAATCGAATATGCTGACGCTCTATCCACTGAGCCAAACGGGTTAGGGCGTGTTTCTTTTTTAGACATTTTAAAAATAGAGAGGCCTCAGGGTATGGTGTTTTACTTCCACCTACTCTCATCTGATAAACTAACCCTGAGGCCACTGAGATGAGCTATTACAATAAAATGATCTCTTTTGCCTGAATAATTATTAATTCATTAAATTCCACCAGCAACCCTGTATTTGTCCCCATTTTATAGATGATGAACAGAGAGAGGCTGAGTAACTGACCAAGGTCACAGAGCTACAAAGTGGCAAAGGCTTGGGGTAGAGGGAAGTGGAGTAGAGTACAGTGGGGATACATGATGATGGATGGAAACTTGATTGGGGTGGTGAACACTCAATACAGCGTACACATGATGTGTTGTAGAATTGTGCACCTGAAACCTGTCTTTATTTTGTTAATCAGTGTCACCTCAATAAATTCAATTAAAAAACAACAACAAAAACTAAAGTGGCAAAGACAGGGCTCCAACCCAGACATTCTGACTGCAGAATCTATTCTTTTGGCTGATGCTGGTACATCCCCAGCATCATCAAAGGGCTTCTAGAAAGGATTCACCTCAGTTACTATGTAAAAAGCAATTCCCAGACTTGGCCTTTCCTCTCCTCAATCTCTTCATCATTATGCACTTGCTGGTTAGCTTCCTGCGGGTTAACTCCAGAAATGGGGTTCGCCACGTCCTAACTTCTCAGGATACTCACTTTGAACATTGGCCGGACGTGGTCCAAGTGAGTGGCACTCGTAAATGGGGCTTTGGCGTGGCTCACAGCCTCCATCAGAGCTTTGGCTGTTTTAGCCATTTGTTCCATCTCCAAATTGTACAGCAGCCGTCGCTGCTTTTCACTAGCTACACCTACAGAGAAATAAGAGAATATGAGCTAAGACTCACTGAGTGCTTGCTAAGTGCCAGGCACTGCTTCAAAAGATTTATAATGACTAATTCACAAATCCTCCCAACCACCCCATGAGTCTGTTAGAAATATTGTCATCATACAATGAGGCACAGAGTGTTAAGTAACTTACTCAGGGTCACACAGCTAATAAGTAGTACAGCTGGGACTTGAGTGGCTCTGGAGCCTGCACTATAAACCACTACACTCTGCTGCCTCACAAACAAAGACATGGGTAGCTTCAAAACGGCCTTAACTAACAGAATTTTAATCAAGGTTGGCAAAATCACCACTGGTATCAAAGCAAAGTTTTAAGGAACATTTTTGGGGAGCAATTCAGATTATTTATTTTAAATTCTCTCTTGAATCTAATCACAAGGCTAGCAAGAAGATGATGATATGAGAGAACCAACATTAATCCTAATAATTAACCACATTTCTTATTCAGTTATCTATATATGCAAATTAACATTATCATCCATAAAATTAGCTTACTCATGCATTCTGATACATTTGAAAACTGTAGTGAATATAAAGTTCGCCATTAGACCTTACTCTGCTTAGTAGATTTGGTTGCGATCGTGTGCTCTTTTGTTTCTTTCATTGCAATTTTCTTGCCTTCTATCTCTTCATAGATGCTTGAGAGATATTCTTCTGGTAGATCTTTACTGTCATTGATGCCCCGATTCATTTTAATATACTGTTCTTTTGTCATTTTATTTTTTACCTAAAATTTAAAAAAATTTCAAAAACCATTTAGAAAATATCCAATGTCCCAAATAAAGCTACTTGTTTAGCTACCATAATATAGAAATCATTAACATATTGTACCTGAGGGCTGTGCAAGTCTGTAGTTAGCATAATAATCGAATATGCTAGGACGTACGCAGTGTCAGCACTAGCAAAAAGTGTTTGCCTGGAAGAAAAGATTCCAGATGTCAGAACACGCATAGAGATGAGGCTGGGACGGTCCAGTGCTGATGGGGACATGCTTCACTGAAAGCAGGCTGACTGCTCCATGTAACGCCAGATGAGTAAAGAGTTTCATGCTTTCATCATCACTGATTGATAATTAACGACCCAGAGTGTAGAGAAAGGTAGTTAAGAATATTTGTCAGCTTTGGATTTCTTTGTTTCAAGTCAGTTTTTTAAGAAGATCCCCAAGTATCCTCCAGAGAGTAGGTTGAGGCAAGCGAGGCACCCTCACTCCTGGGTGTCAACCCTGCAGTACTAGACCCTGAGAGTGAGGCCTCTTCTAGGGAGCACCCTTAGTGCCTCACTTGCCTCATGCTGGTCCTTTTACTGTCAGCATGCACTTCGTGCTGGGCACTGGGTAGAAAGCTGACTAAAACTGCTGTCCAGTTATTAACAATTTATAGTTTACATTACCCGCTGTAATATTTAACAGTAGAAATATTTGTGTGTTCTAAACGTTATGCCAGTGATGTCTGACTGTTTTTGTCTTATGCAAGGAAAAAAGGACAAAAACTGGTAGATGCAGTTTCATAATAGGTGAGGCTAAAGCTAGAAAAAACTGGTCTGCCCAACTGCTCCCAACAGGAAAAGGAGAAATTCTGAAGAACACACAAAAGGTCTGCATTCTAATGTGGAATTTAATTGGGCCACATATTTACTGATTAAGAGAAACAGACCAAGGTCTCCAGGTCCACACAGGAAATACAGGCATACCTCAGATATATAATAGGTTTGGTTCCAGACCACCACAATCAAGTGAACATTGCAATAAAGCAGGGGTCCTCAAACTATGGCCCACGGGCCACTTGCAAATACAAATATTGTATTTGTTCCCGTTTTTTTTTTTTTACTTAAAAATAAGATATGTGCAGTGTGCATAGGAATTTGTTCATAGTTTTTTTTTAAACTATAGTCCGGCCCTCCAACGGTCTGAAGGACAGTGAACTGGCCCCGTTTAAAAAGTTTGAGGACCCCTGCAATAAAGCAAGTCACATGGTTTCCAAGTGCATATGGAAGTTATATTTACACTATAGTAATTTATTAAGTGGCAATAGCATTGTCAAAAAAATGTATATACCTTTTTTTTTTTTTTAAAAATTTTTTATTGTTTCTTCACAGAGAGGAAGGGAGATAGAAAGTTAGAAACATCGATGAGAGAGAGACATCGATCAGCTGCCTCCTGCACATCCCCCACTGGGGATGTGCCCGCAACCCAGGTACATGCCCTTGACCAGAATCGAACCTGGGACCTTTCAGTCTGCAGGCCGACGCTCTATCCACTGAGCCAAACCGGTTTCGGCAAAAAAATGTATATACCTTAATTAAAATTACTTCATTGCTAAAAATACTAGCCATCGTCTAAGTCTGGGGTGGCTGTGGCAATTTCTTAGCTAACTGTTTGGTGCAAGAGGCCTAGATTACAGCCTATCTCAACTTGTGACATGCCTTCCTCACTAAGTTCAATCATTTCTAGCTTTTGGTTTAATGTGACACAGAGACACAAGTGAGCAAATACTTTTGGGGTGCCTATATATTGAAGTAAATAACATCTAATTATGTCTTCACAGCAAGTTCTAGCATCCATTTAGTTAGAATGACCAGACGCTTCCTTTGCTGACCATGCCATCTCCAGGGGACAGCTTGCTGTACACTTGCAGGACTGGAACCAATTAATATGAAAACCAAGCTGATTAAAGAGACAAAACTGTTATCAACATGTTTCTACGGAACAATTCCACATCATTTTCACAGTATATCCAGGCATTTTTACCCTAGTAACTTCATGTTCAGTGGCACAAGCGTGAGCTTTGATTGAGGCAAACCCACATCGAACCCTGGCTCTGATTACTTTTGGACAGGTTGCTCAATGTGCCAGAGTCTGTTTCCTCATCTGTAACATGGGGATACCACTCCCAGACTTACCATGAATTAAATGTAATGCATGTAAAACTCATGGCCTGGCTGACACATAGCAGGTGTTTAATAAAGGTCAGTTCTCTTTTCAATTTCACTTTCTACAAAAAACATGAACTACCTATGAAAAAAGGCCCTAATATGGAATCATGCACTTAGATGGGTTTTATTAGTTACAGAGCCATTTTTTGTAACCTGCTCATCGGTATGTAATCAAAGAAAAACTAAAATCCTGAGATCTATCCCATATATTAAATCAGGGAGTTATTTTTGATTAGGGCAGAGGTGACCAAGTGCTTCCTCTCAACCCAAAATACTCTCTTATCATAATTAATAGCGTGGGCTCTAGCTGGGATCTTGGGCAAGTTATTTAGCCTCTCAGGTCTCAATCTCATTGTCTGTAAAAGGGGACAAAAACAGTTGTTCTGAGGCCTTACATGAGATAATCCCTCAGCACAGTGTCTGGCACATGGTGAACAGAAATTTTAGTTGTTTGGCATAGACTTAGAAAGATTACACTCCACCCCCAACCAAACTAAGATTAGTGTTCTGATGTAGGCAAAAAGATGATGTACAAGGGATTTAAATATGATGCTCACCCCTGATTGCACTCTATGTATCTTGCGGCAAACTTCTCCATTAACCGATCAATCTTCTGGGCTTCCCCAGGTAGGCGGAAACCTTCTAAAAATGTCCGCAGGGCTGAGACAAACTCCTTTTCACAGAAGTCAAGTTGGTCCACATAGGCATACATCACCTCCTTGTTGAATCTCGTGCTGTCTCCCAGGAAATCACCTACTTGGGTCTGAAACACACGCATTCACTTACATCTAGAAATTGTCAAATATCAATGTGCAACGGAAGACACTTCAAAGTGGGGAGGCAGAGTGCCCAGTTCAGGACACTCAAGACAAGATAAACTGCTAGAAGCTAGGTGATTTCCTGAACTGTCCGCCCACCCAACAATTCCAGGTCAGTCTGTCCTGCCACAAAAGAGCAGAAGAGAGCACATGAGACTTAAAAAGGGAGAAATGATGGGGGGCACTAAGAAGGGAGGTTAGTGGCAGATAATATAGTTTCTAGCAGTGAAGGCATACTTCTAGCTCTGATACTGTGCCACCAAATACACAACCACCTGTCAGGAGGTTAGTTTATTCCCTTCAAAGAGCTTTTTGCATCACTGGCCAAAGGGAAGAGTAGGGCTGCTATAAGCAGGCATGTGGACAATAGCCACTGCACTCAGGGTCAGACAATCTCTATGTTAAAACCTGGTATGGTCTTAGTGTCACTTGATAGAACCCACTTGCAAGTGCTCAACTCCCAGTCTTACAGAATCGAGACGCTCCTCCTGGTGCAGGAATTGGGCAATCTCTTCAACTGATGTTCCCAGCATACTCTGCTCCTGGAGAAACTGGATCCCTCTCTTGGGTTTCTTGTTGAATCTGTTTTAAGAAGAGATGGGACACGGATTGAAAATCTAAAGGACAGAAATACCTGGCATTTGAGGTAGGTTACAATAACACCATGAACAAGCCATCATATATCAGCTAGGAAGGTCCTGTGAATGCTGGCAGGTTTCTGAATTCCATCTTCAATTTCTCACCTAGCTATACAGCAGTCTGTTGGTTGCCACCCAATATCCGTATTCCCCTTCTGCAACATTCACAAAATCCAAGATGTTTATCTGGGGACACAACTCCTTGAAATAAAAACTACATTTCCTTGCCTCCCTTAAACGAAGTACAGCCATGTGATAAAGTTCTAGTCAGTGAGGATTTGAGCAGAAGTGTTATGGGTACTTTCTAGGAAGGCTCCTTAAACAAAGCCGACCTGACTGGGAGGTATACTCTTTTTGCCCTTTCCCTCTTCTTCCCCAGAATATATGTGTGATGGCTAGTGCTCCAGCAGTCATCTTAAACCATGAGGCAACAATGAAGATGCAAATTGTGTTAAGGCTGGTGAAGCAGAAAGCTGAGAGTAGCCTGGATCTCTGACGTCCACAGGAGCCACGACAAAAGCTCTAGACTGCTTCTGTGTATTTCCTGTTAAAGGCAGGCAAACTTTCCACTAAGGTATAAATTCAACTTATTTACCAGGCTGTGCACGGGAGAGAATGACATTACATATAAGTACAAACTGTAGCAGGGGCTGTGAAGGAAGAAGATGAATAGGGTGCAGGAACAGAGAACAACTTGGGACCTGTTAGGTAGTGTGGTTACAGAAGGCCACTTTGAGGAAGACCTGTTTTGCCAAGTCCAAAGGATGAAAAAGACACAAGAGTATCCCAATCAGGGGGGGTATGAGAACAAAAACACCTGTATTTAAAGGACTGAAACAATTATATGATTCAGGGGTATTGGCAGGAGATGAGATTAGCAAGAAATGAGGTCAGTGAGATGGGCCAGAGGCTGGGTCAGGCTGGGATGAGAAAATGGAAAACCTGGAATGACTTCAGGCAAGGGAGTGATAAGACCTGATTTAAGTTTTCAAAAAGATTACTTTTGAAGGATGTAGGGATGGTGACAGAGGAAATGAAGAGATCTACACTTCAATCACTCAGAAGCTGGACAGGATATGAGTGTGTGCATATGTATTTTTGTGTGTAAAAGACTAGAAAGAAACACATTAAGATTTACCAGTGGTTACCATAATGGTATGGTTTTCAAAGATGTAGGGCTGAAATTACTTTCAAATGGTTCAGAAGAAAAAAATACATAGGTAACACTAATGTGGCAGATGTTAATTTTCTGTATGTTAAAAATTCTCATAATATATAGTTGGAAAAAATGTTACCAATGGTGATTTCCTCTAGGAGTAATTTTATGAGCAATTTTAACATTTTTGCTTTATACTTTTCTGTATTTTCTAGTGGTTTAATTTTTTTTCATTAGAAAAAAAAAGAGCAGGCATCAAACACAAACCCATTAAATTTCTCTAACACACAAAACTCACTCACTCTGCTGGCTTAATCAGGCTTAGCTGCAAGTGCCAGCACTCGCCTCTGCAACAGGCATTTCCCTTTGAGGAGCCAGCCCCAGGTCCCCAGAGAAGATGTGGCTTTGTCCGAGGCCCCAAGAGATTCAGTTAGAGTAGCAGCCACACTCACAGCTCAATGCCATGTTCAATGATTTCTTTCTGTTGCTTGATGACCTCAAACTGCTCTGGATCATCCTGGATAGTTGTCTGGGTCCCTGAGGACACTGTGGACTCCATGGAGGTCACGCTGCTCCGTCTTGCCATGTCGAGACCTTTCCCATCCCCCATTTCCTGATCTGTGGGCCTCTCCTGACCTGCAATGACATAATAGAAAAGAAAACCGTATCAGCAGAAGGGAAACAGACATGGCTGAGCTCAGGTCTGGCTCTGCAATTCCCTTTCCCACACCTATAACAATAAGTTTGCACTGTCAAGATCAAAAGCATGAAACGGTGATATTACTCAATACTTTACTTAAAAACTTACATTTTTGTGAAATTTGATAAGCTAACTCTAAAATTCACATAAAAGTATAATGATAAAAAACAGTCAAGACACTTGTACTGGTCCAAGAATAGACAAATCAATAGAACAGAATAGAAAGTTCAGAAACAGACATATACACACAAGAGAATATGGTATGTCATAAAGGTGGACCTTTAAATTGGTGAGGGAGACTAATAAAAAATGTTGGAACAATTGGTCCTCCATTTGGAAAAGTGAAGCTGGAGCACAACTCATACATATCCCTCTTCCAAATTCCAGATGGATTAAAAAGCGGAACCTTTAAAATACTATAGGTATTTAGCAAACTAAAGTGTTTTTGCTAAGTCTAAGACAATTATAACAGGACAACTTTTCCCAATAGTCGTAAGTAGCCTATTGTGAATGGAGGCGGTGGTGGCAGCAACGCTTTCTCACCAAGGCTGGTCTGGTGGTTGGGATTCACATATAGGTCTCTGCTCCACTCCACCATGCACTTGAGAATGGACACGAGGCACTCTAGTCCTTTCTTCCTCAGACTGAGCTCCTAAAGGACAAAAGTGACATGGTACAGAGACTTAGATAAATTAAGTGCAGATATCTATAGGGCTCTTAGGGAATTCGATGGGGAGAGAAGATAACCACTGACAGGGGAAAGTTAACAGGTCACATTAAGTATTAAGGGCTCATTGTAAAAACCCTGAAAATCTCTGAAGGTATTCATTACACACATCCTAGCAGCAAAAATATTGGATGTGTCTTTTCTTAAAATGAACAGTGCTTTCTGAATTTCTAAAAGGAAGTTCATTGCTTGTATAATTTGAAAAAACACTTAAAATGCTTTCCTTTAAAAAACCAAAACCAAAACCAAAACAAAAACCAAGGTGTTAAACCAGCAATCTCAAAATAAGACAAAAAAATCTTGTATTATGCAACAAATTAGTGATTCTGAACACACTCTTATCTCCCAAACACTCACAAATGTATTCCCTTTTATGGCTCACTCTACAATAAAAACACTTTAAAAAAAATAGTATTTCTTAAATAAAAAATTAAATATGAATTGCAGATAATCTAAAACAAAAACAAACATTTTAGGATCAAAACAGCATCTAAGGTGTCACAGATCTCTCTATAAATCTAATGTCAATATGAATGTTCTAGGAAAAATGCCATAGACCAAATTCTACACATAATTCCAGGGAGTTCACAGATGTTCTCACAGTTCATTTAGAGGCCCCAGGTTAAGGACCCTATTCTTCACAGGCACACTGATAAGAGGCAATCTCTTCTGCCTTTACTGGAGCCTGAGATCCTGTTTTCGTAAGGTCTCTGGAAAGATGACCGAGAGTGAACTTGCTTCCTACAAATGTCACCTCCTCAGGGAGACTAACTCTGATGACGTCATTAAAAATGACAACACCTCCACACTCCTTCTCTATCATCCCTGCAGCTTATTTCTTCCTTGTCTGCTTATAAGTGCTGTGACGGCAGCAATCGTGTGCATGTACATACATATGTTTGTTTTGTATTCCCAGCAGCAAGGACAGTGCCTGGCACATGTGGCATTTGATAAATGCTTATCAAAATGAATGAACTTTAAGTATAAATGAGTGTTCTTAGTATTTTTACCTGCAGAGGTGTCATTCCCAGCTCATGTCCACTTCTTCCCTGAGCAATTTTGGATAAATCATTTACGAGGCGCTCAAAAATGTTAGCAGCATTTAAATCACAGTCGTAGTTGACATAAATATCTACAACACACTGGGCATCTTGGAAAATAAGACAGATATTAGAAATTCTGATTAAACATAAGTAACAGTTATGTTTTCTTATTGAATAAGGTTCCTCTGTCAAAAAAATTTTCCCAGTGAATTGCTAACTCAAGTGGACATACCACAGTGTCGCACACAAGAAATGAATGTCTTAAGTAGTAGAGAGATGGGAGACCCTCTCTCCAGGCCTGGGCAACTACCGTATTTGCCGGCGTATAAGACGATTTTTTGGCCCTGAAAAATATGCCTCCAAGTGGGGGGTCGTCTTATACGCCAGGTACACTTCAGATAGACTGCCCATAGTGCTTGCCCCGTGCCATAGTGGCCTCCCGATGCCCGCCCACTTCATTCCACATACCGTTCAGGCATCAGCAGCGCTGCTGGGTGTATGCTCGGCTGTTATGCGATTTTGCTGTTATGCGATTTTACCACACTCGCAAAATCGCACACAGCCGACCATACACCCAGTATGATAGCGCAAAATCACGAATCGCGATACCATACTGGGTGTATGGTTGGCTGTGTGCGATTTTGCGAGTGTGGTAAATTCGGGTTACCGTATATTTCTTTACATATGCATTGAAGATTCGCGATTTTGCGCTATCATGGTGCCTGTTAGAATGTTGAAGAGCTCGCACTTGCGCACTAGTGAGGTCCCAGGGAGATGCTGATGCAAGGGTGGACCAGACTGCTATAGTGACAGGGCGGGCAAACAGGGAGCAGGGACCAATCAAATCAGGCTTTGTATACAGCCAACAGCCAACCACAATACTGCCCCATTGTACAGTACAGCATAGAAAATGTCGACCAGTCAAACCCCTATCATCCCTATCATGGCACCAAGATGTCGTTGATGAACTTTTAATATCAGATGATGAAGAGGAGTTTGAAGGCTTTCTATTTGTTATCTTACTTCTATCATTGACAGTCCCTCTAGGTTGTGGGCTGCTTGCCTGTGTTCCTGAGAAGCATCTACGGTACCAGTCTATAGAGTGTGTTTTCTTTAGTGAATTACCGGTATGTTTACCGGTAATAAACTTGCACTGTTTTATGTATATGTTTGATTACATACAGCCTTGTGACAGTTTTCCTGCATGTCATAAGCATTTGAATATAAATTAAAATGTTAAAATCAAATCTGATATTGTTTTACCTTTTATTTGGTGTGTGGAAGGTGTGCGGAAGAGGGGGTAGTCTTATACGGCGAGTATATAACAAACTCTGTATTTTGAGTGGAAATGTTAGGGGGTCGTCTTATACGCCGGCAAATACAGTATCTAAAATCTCAGGCAGTTCATTCCAACTTTCCAAGCTCACTTTCTTCATCACAACAGGAGTAATAATTGCCTGATCCACTTTAAGTTGTGTAATTCTTATGAAGTTATGTTTGATGGTGGACAAGTAGGATGCTGGCTTTACAGTCACACAACTGCATTGTGTAAGGTAAATCCAAATTTACCTAAGCACCCAATCAAGGGTTGGCAGCACCAATACCTTGGACCCTGTGACTAAAAAGCACATTCAGCTGATAGGCAGGGTGACGAAGTGTCCCAGTTTTCCAGGATTTGAGGGTTTCTCAGGATGTGGAACTTACAGTGCAAAAACCCCAACTTCCCAGGCAACCAGGCTGAGTTGCTCATCCTCCAAAGGAGGAGGGGTGGTCTAGTCATTAGGTTAGCATTGGCCTATAAGGTAATGATTTCCCAGCACTTCATTAAAACTCAAAGAGGAGGAGTTAAAGATCTTCCTCTGGACTTTGGAAAATAAACACATCAAGAGGTTCCGGGCTAGCCAAAGGGATGAGCACCCTCAGGGAGAAAATACCTGCACAGATCCTTGTCAGAGTCTGAATGACCATCCACCTGTGCTCAAAAGAACTTGTTGATGTTTCTAAAATGTTCAGGAAAATCTCTTTGAAAAAGACCTATGTGACATGAAGACAAAGGAGGACACTGATTAATCGTTTAAATCAGGGCTCAAAACCTCAAAGACTTTAGAGGACAGGCAGATCTTACGATGAAGAGAGGCATACACATGCTGCTGAATCGCAATGAAACCCTGGCTGCGTGGGAACAGCTGGAGGGCAAGGGCACAGGGAACTGGGGAACACGGGCTCATCACAGGGAGCAGCTGCTCCCGAGTCAACGCCAAAAGCTGCCACATGGAAATGCAGGACTGCTGTCGTGATTTTTCAAGAGAAACCAAAAATCTGGATTTTCATGTAGAATCTGATTTCTCTATTTGGGACCTAATTCAGGGTAGTTCAAATAATTTAGATTAAACAAACATATTTGGGGGGGCTAAACCTAGCACATAGACCACTCGATTTAAACCTTTGGTTAAAATGAAAGGAATACAAGATTTTTGGGCAGTAACTTTTCACGAAAAAGTATTCTTCTCTCCTCACTCATTCAAAAAGTTATTTGGGGGGGAAGGCAACTAGTAGACTGTGTAACTATAGTTCTTGGTGACTCTGCCATCAGCAGTTAACCATCTGGTACAAAATGAAAAAATATTAATTTGGAGTCCGTACCTCTATCTGCATTTTCAAGTGCATTTTAAAGTTTGAAAGAAGAGTAAGAAAAATGGCCAGAGAGAGCTCAAAGACATCAGGCACTGAAGAGACGCCGTTTTTGGACAATGCCACACAGAGATATTGCTTGATTGCATTGATGAACATCTCGTGAGTCCTAAAGACTGGACCGGCGTTCTGCAACACCGAGAGGAGCAGCTGCAGGGAAACCACCTTGGAGCGCAGCTCGTGGGACCTAGCAAAGAAAACAAAGAACAATGATGACGTTAAAAGATAAAACCTAAAAATCATGTTTCTCGAGAAGGCCTCACTCCTACCAGTGAGAATTTTCTGAGAAGCCAATGAGTTAAGAACTAGCAAAAGCACCTAAATGTCAAGAGAACAAGGGCAGATGACAGGAGATGGGTCTTCTTGGGACCTGCAGATCCTGTGAAAACAAGAACTGCCAGCTTCTATTCTTTTCATCCCCCACCCTGCCATAAAGTAGATATAGCAGGAGCAAAGTGTCAGCTGGCCCTGGAGAGCTGGTTCTGCAACTCACCTGACAGAACAATTACTTTTACCACCTCATTCATGGAACCTAAGACATCTGGCCTTCATAGACAATGAAGATGGTGCTCTTTATCCACCTGCCTCCTGCCCCCTCACTCTGCCCACAGGGATGGTAAGAAATGAGAAATGTCCATAAACCATTTTCCTAAGGGTTATATTCTCAACAGAAGAGTTGAAGATTCTTATTAATGACTAATAATAATGATGATAATAATAGTGACTATAAAACTCTTACAAAGTGCAAGACCCTGTGCTTTATATTATTTTATTAAATGGGTCCTGTAAGGTGATTTTCCATATTCCCATTTTCCAGAAGCTCCTACAAGCCATGGAGCTGGTCTCAAGTGTAAGGGCCAGGAGTGAAAGTAGTTCTCTCTGTCTCCAAAGCCTCTGCCTGGACACTCCACAGTACTTCCATCCTTGTGGTCGTTCGCTCAGTACTACAAAGAAAGGTTGGTTTCTCTGGTTTGAATCTGGTTCTGTATCCATGCAACAAAGGTTTTCAACCAGGGCAGGAAACTGAGATTTGCTCACATCCTGCTCCTGCCCTCATTAGTACATTAAATTGATTATAGTCAGTAAAAAGAGGGTGCATGCATGTTCAAGGTAATTATTTTTAGCATATAAACCAAAAGGCAAAACTGGGCAGAATCTTGGTTGAAGGGGACACAGAGACAATTCATTGTGAAAGAAATGATTGTAGACACCACATGAATTAAAAAAGCTATAAAACTATCCTTAATAAATTTCTGCCAGGGGTCAAAGCACTGGGTTTCCTGGAACCCCTGAGAGCCTCCTGGATTACCTGGGTTACAGACAGCCAAGAACTACTGTCTGCTTACTTTGGATCTGGGGGGCCTTCACCAAGGGGTTTCATGGACAGCTTGCAAAGGGAGCGAAACACCAGGAAGGCGTCCTTCTGCAGAATGTGAGAGAACCTAGCAGTTCCTTGATGTCCTTGTGCATCTGATTCCTAAATAGAAAAAATTAAAGGTCAAAACAAAAGGATAATTATTTTCAAAAATAAGAAATAAGTATCTCATGGAAATGCCAATTATTTTATTTATTCAATGGGGAAGTGAGGGATGGAGGGGGGAGAAATGGCAAAATAGGAGCTATGCGGGAGTCACTCAGGCAATTCTAAAACCGTATTCCTTGTCCTTCAAAAAGTGAGTATGGGTGGTTTAAAATGATCAATTTTAAACATTAAACCATAAAAAAACTAAAACAAATATAGGTAATGATTATATTAGCTTGGGTAAAAAGGTATTTCTAAGAATACTATTGCAAGGTAAATGAGAAATATGATAGGTATTTTAAAATAAACTTCTTTAAATAAGTAAACTACATTTAAAAATAAAAATATTTGAAACCTATGGAAAGGATTAATATTCTCAATATACAGTAAGTTCTTATAATTCATTAAGGAAATATGGAAACCTTTATCTCAAATAAAAAACTGGTAAAAAACATTAATAAGCAATTCTCCAAGAAATGCAAATGCAAACCTAAATAACCTTACTACCAATCATTAAGGCAGGCTCTTTCTCCTAAGAGACTAGCAGGGCTCTGAATGAACACTATTGTCCAGTTTCAACGAGGAAATGACAGCTTACAGTGGGCACAGATTCCAGTATTACCTTCCCAGCAGGCTAATTTGATGTTAAGGATCAAAAGCCTTAGAGCTGCCAACCCCTGACCCAGCAATACCACTGCAGGGATTTATCACAAAGAAAGAATTAAGGATGTGCACAAGCTTTATCTATAAGGATGTTCATTTTAGAACTGTTGTTTCTTGTGATAAAACTGAAATAACCTTAAGGCTTAATGGGGAATTGGCTAAACAGATTACAGTAATCCATATGATTGAATTTTACATGGCTATTAAAACATTAGTTAGATCTATATGTACTGATGTGGAAAGATGTCCATAAGATAGTGTTGAGTGAGCAAAGCAAGCCAGCATTGTATATAAGACATGAGACCCTCATTTGGGCTTAAATACATGCCGATGTGCATTCTTAACAGGGATAATATAACCCCAAGGGGCTGCCACAGACTGAATGTTTGTGTTCCTCCCAAACTCATATGTTGAAACCTAATCTCTAACGTGATGGCACTAGGAGGTGGGGATTTTGAGAGGTGATTAGGTCATGAGGGTAGAGTCCTCATGAATGGGATTAGTGCCCTTATAAAAGAGGCCCCGAGAGCTCTCTCACCCCTTTGCCATGTGAAGACAAAGAGAGACCACTGACTATGAACCAGAAAGCAGACCCTCACCAGATACCAAAACTGTTGGGAGTCTTGATCTTGATTTCCCAGCCTCCAGAACTGTGAGCAATAAATTCCTGTTGTTTATAAGCCACCCAATTTATGGTATTCTGTTATAGCAGGTTGAATAGACTAAGACAAGGGCAAAAAATTGGTTCTTGGCGGGGGTGGGGGGTGTTTAAAATTCTTCTTTTTATTTATAAGCAGTACATAAGCAGATATCTAATTTATCAGTAGCTTTAAAATTTCATAAAGGGTGGGCGGTGAGCAAGAAAAAGAAACATGTAAAAAGGCTCCTTAAAGAGGTGATAATGAAAAAAGTTTGAGAAACACTAGTGAAAAGGTACAGGGAGTGCGTTCACGTGGGATGTTAATGTTATATTACTTCCTGTTTTGAATGTTTATATATAGTCAAACCTCGGATCTCAAACATCTCCCATCTCAGTTCTCAACCAAATGGTTTAGGGGGAAAATGTCCTGGTTGTCAAACCAAACTTAGGTTTTTGACCTGACAACCCTTTCATGCTAACACCTTAGCATGACAAAAGGGACTCTCAGGCAACAAAGGAGAGAATGCTTTTATTGCTGGGAAATCGATGAATAGCATAATTTTAAAACACAAAGAGGCTATCAACAGTGCTAATGTTGCTAAGGGTGTGAAACAAAACAATGATCACAGGCAATTGAAGAGGTAGACAAACTGTTGCTGGTTTGAATAAATGAAAAGTAGTTAGCCAGTGACAGCATTTCAAAGACAGTGATATGTGAAAAAGGGAAGATGCCCATGCTAACTTCCTAAAAGACAGCCCTGGAACACGTGCTGAAAGTGATTCATTTAAGGCTAGATGGGGGTGGTTTAATAAATTTGATAGAAGAAGTATTTATTTATAGATTAAACAGTACATTAGACATGTACTGCATATAAGAATGGTTAAAACAGGGAATCATTTGTGGATTTGGAACGAACTAATTCAATTTACATTATTTCTAATGGGAAAAAATGATTCGGTTTTCGAAAAAGTCGCTTCTCAAACAGCCTGCTCGAACAAATTAAGTTTGCGAACCAAGGTTCCACACATAACATTTTCAAGAAAACAATAGAACTATTAAAAAAAATTGTAGTGAACATTATCGGCCTGAAAAAAATGTTCATAATATATATTAAGTTTATAAAATAGGTCACAAAACAGCATGTATATTGTTATTCCATTTAAGTGAAAAAAATATGTGAAGGGTAGGAAAATTTAGAAGGCTATAAAGAAAATGTTAACAAGGGTTATCTTTGAGTTATGGGATTATGGGATTATTTTCCTATAATAAATGCATATTACTTTGAGAGAGAATAAAAAGGGCAAGAAATGTGTTAAAAATCTGAATAAACAAGGTTTAATAACAATGTTAAATACAACCAACATTAATTAGCATGTTCCAAAAATGGAACCTACTAACACAGAATATCAGGCCAGGACTCTGACCAGTAACTGAAGAGGGCTCAGTGGTTTTCACTCACTTCTTCTGGTAGAGATTTAATTCTGCATCTTCTAAAAAGGTAAAAATCGAAATGAATCCATATGAGAGAATCATCAACATACCAGGTTATCCGCTGACGACAAGGACTGCCTGTCATCTGCTATTCCATTGGTCTGTGAGTTTTCGTCCACTGCTGATGGGACAGCACATTCCTGTCCCTCCAGTTCGCCAAGGGCCCTCTCGGATTCTGTCAGACTGTGCTTTTGTGCTGCTTCTTCAAACACAAGTGCAAAAATCATTACTAAATTAGTACTTATCCCGAAAGGTAGCCTGACATCAGGAAGAAGTGATTCATGTAACCTTTTAGGTACTGCTTTTTCCCTTTCCTGCATCACTACCCCATGACTGACATATACGTATTGAAAAGGCTGCCCAAAGTGACGCGTAGGTTTTTCATGTGTCTGTTATCCACAGCCCCAACACCAGGGTCTTGGTTAATACTGTAGTCCATGTCAATGGTACGTCCAGAATTGTGATACAGCAGCCCTGCCCTCTCCTTCCCCTTCTCAAAAAGATTTGAAACAGCTAAACATGAAAAGTGCAGATTATTTTTAAAAGGGCTATTAATATAGGGGTTAGAGAAAAAGAGCCACATAAAATAAATGAAAGGGTTTGATAGTTATGAAAGAAAACCTCAGTTACAAAAAAAAGAAAATGAAGACGTGAGGTTCCTGGCAGCAATGTGAAAAATGGAAAGAGAAAGAATTAAATAGATTTCATCATTTAATGCAAGAAAGCTATATTTGATAATTAGCAGAACAGCGGAACTCCATGAGAATTCACCATGTGGATCTTTACATATAGATGGGACATCAAACAACTCAATAAGCACAATCTTCCATAATGGTTTTACAAAGTATATATCCATTCGACAAATTTTATCAAGTGCCTGTTATTTACCAATCTCTGTGCTAGGGACTGAGGGATATAGCAGTGAATAAGACAGACAAATGTTTATTATGTGAGGACTTCTTGTATTGGCCTCAGAAAACAATCTAAGGATATGAAATAAAATCATTCAATTTTAAAGACATTTCTAAAAGGAGTTAAATAATGAAATCTATACATACAGCTTGGTGGGTACCCTAAATCAACAAAAGGATAGGCTTAGAGCAGTAGGTCAAATTTCTTTGATGATAACCTTCATGAAGAAATACATTTTTAAAATCATGAACTAGTACACATGTGCACATAATTAAAATGCATGTTTCATGAAACAATGCTTAACACACCACATGCAATGCATTCAGTTTGCATTCTATTTATTTTCTTTCATTTATTTCAAAAAATGTTCACTGCAATCCACTAAATTATTGATTTTTTAACCCACTAATGGTCTATTGGCACTGGAACTGAGCCATATAAGTTTAATTCCACTGAAACCACACCATAAAGTTGAGGGAGTTATGAATGAAATATAACAAAAGAACAAGCTTCCATGTGCATCTGATACCTACAAGTCAATGGCTAGCCATGAAAATTCAGCAGTAATAGACACCACCTCAGGGCTCACAGCCCACTCCTGGAAAAACTGGATACATACGGGAGTGGTCCTCTGTGTCTCTATGTGGAACACTCAACCCTAACGTTGTCAGACTGCGCTTCTTGAACCCAACCCAAATGAGAATAAAATCACCTGCTAAAAACAAGTAATTTTTGGATTCCATATGAAAGATGAGCAGACATGGGCAGATTCATTTTCCATGGGCTCACTGGGGGCAGGGCACCCTACCACTAAAATATCTGGCTAAGGGCTTTTTTGAAGGAATGGGGTAGAAGGAAAGGCTGGGTTATTGGTTCTTACCTTCGACAGCAGATGTGACCACATCTTCTAAGATCTCCTTCACCACCTCCTGGGCTCCATCATCAGTCCCTACACACACACCCAAATACACAAACACAAGCATATACATGTGGGCATTTCTAGGGAAAATAGGAAGGAGGAGATCTTGTCCATGTTCTCTAGAATAAAATTTCAGAAGGCAAAGGGTACAAATAAGTACCCACCAAGGCCAGATCTGATTGTACCAACAGAAGACAAGTCTCATGAAATCTGGAAATTCTCAGGCAACATCAGCTATGATTTCATCTTTCCTTTCATGGAACACTAGTACCCCTCCGACTTACACACTTTTCCTTCCTAAGTTATAGTTGCTCTAAGTCCCAGGGTCCTCCTCCTCACCCCCAAGTTGGAGGCAGGAGCTGGATTTTATCCATCTGTGATTCCTGGCAGAACAAAAGAAGATGGTTTCTCTTGTGTCTTCACCTTGGGAACACGAAGCCTTAGTAAGTGACTACTTTCTGCTGCCTTGTTTTACCTACAATATAAACCTAGAACTTAGCATGAGATTTTTAATGTGCTAGTTGAGGACTTACTAAATTTTTAAATGGAATTATTCTGTAAAATGTTAACAGTTTAAGTGGAAGAGGTTCGGCACCATTTGTTTTTGTAGAAAACTAGATCTGGAAGAACTATTAAACAGCCCTTCTAGAAGTAAACATTATAAAACATCACAATGACCAAAAAGGCCATCACATTAAATAAACAAAACCAAAATAACCCTTTAAATTCTTCCTCAAGGAGGATTTTCAATCAAGCCACTATTTTTAATAAGTTCCATGCTTGGTCCCATGTCCTAGAGTACAGCCCAAAGTGTTTTCATTTCCATTGAATACTTAACCTACCACAAAACAGGCTCTCTTTATCCATGACACTGTTCCCACCACCTTCACATCAGATTACCAGCTGAAATATCTATTTTTTTTTAAAACTAAGTCATTGTTAAAGCTGAAACTTATTTGAAAGATGATAACAGCAAACACTTACATAGCCTTATGTGCCAGACACTGCTGTCATTTAATTCTCACAAACCTATAAGATAGGTACTAGTTGTATTCTCATTTTACAGATGAGGCTCAGAAAGGTTAAAGATTTTGCCCAAGGTCAAAGAACTAAGTGGTAGAGTCATGATCTGAACTTAGGCTGTCTGATCAGAACCTCCATATTGGCTGAGGGAGGAGAAAGTTTCTCTATTGTATAGTACTTAAAAATGGTTATTTAAAAGTGAACTAACATATACATGGGTAATTGTGTACCTACAATAACTACATATTAACTATATAAATGCTAATGTGTAATGTGGGGAGTTAAAATGTCAGAATTTCAAAAATGAACTTAAAAGAAAATGGGAAGTGATTGCTAAAGAGTGTGATGAAATGTTCCAAAATTAATTGTGGTGATTGTTGTACAACTCTGTTAATATAAATGGGCAAACTTATGCTATATGCTATATCTCAAACAAGTTGGTTTTTTAAGAAATTGACAAGAGTAGCTGGGCAATCAGGAGAGGTGTGAATGGACAAATGGGGTGAGGTTCCCTGGGGAAGGTGGTTAGTCATGCCCAAGAATTCATATAAGTAAGCATATCTTACGCTAAGGACTTTTAGCATACCTTATGCTAAAAAAAATCTAATTTTGTGAGTTTACAAAGAGCCATCTGATCCACTTCTTAGACAGGCAGATAAGAATGACAACTGGAAAAGCGAAATAGATCCTCAGGTCTTTGGGTGAATTATCTCCATCTACACAAATTTCTTGGGAGGCTAATTATCCCAGGCAGGCCTTGGGGAGGATTCCCAGTTAAGCAGGAAAATGTATGTGAGTGTTCACATAATGAGCAGTGCCTTGCACAGTGCCTGGCAAAGCTAGGGGTGGTGTGTGATGGTGGCTACTATAGGATGGAACCACGGGAGGGTGGATGTGTGGTCTCTATCACTTTAGCCCAAGACACTGTCTCCGCCATCTGCCTCTCAGGCTGTCCATCCTCCTTGCTTCCAAGGCTTCTCAATCCTTTCTTTGGAAGGTCCCATTCTTTCTTTCGAGCCACATCTTGAGAACTGACGACACACCTCCATTTTGACCTACTATTTGCAAGTTTGTGGTTTGTTTCTCACAGGCAATCTGATTCCCACATTTTTGGGAAAAGCCTCATGGGGTGCACCAAGTATTGGCAATGAAATCCACGGCAACATACTAACTGCAAATCATTCTCACAGAATTTTAAGTTACTATGTTTCTGCAAAACCATATTCTGGAAATCAAATCCCCCCCCCCCCCGCCCCCGCATTTGTTTAAAATAGTGTATTTACTGTCTGCCATATGTGTTAGGCACCATTCCAGGTGCTGGAAATATAGTCATAAACAGGGCGGCCTAGGTCTCAGGTGGGCACAAGTAAACATTAACTTGGTAACTTCAAGTAGTAATAAGTGCTATGAAGAAAAGAGGCTAGGGGACAGACATGATAGGGAGCTTCAGAGAGTGATCTGTTTGAAATGAGAGACTTGAAGAAAAAGGTGGGGCAAAGAAGGGACAGGAAATACAAAGGCACCAAGAGCAAGTGTGGCACTTTTAAGAATCAGAAATACCACCTGCACACTGTATAGTAGAGGTGTAAGAAGGGGACAGAGAGGTGGGCAGGGGACAGGTCAAGCAGGGCCTTGGAAGCCACAGGGACAGGGTGGACATAAATTTCGCTCTGAATGGGACAGCATGGGGAATTACCAATGGGGTTTAAGCAGAGGAGGGTTGTGATCTAATGCATGCTTTTAAGAGATCACTTTGGCTGCCATGTCGAAATGGGCTGTAGTGGAAGCACTTTCATGCAGCTCAGAGAGACACAGCTATGGTTACTACAGTGTGTTTTAAAATTAATATTTATTTATTGATTACTGCCTGATAAAGGTTACAGTAAAAACCTGGTCCTTGTCCTGAGAGTTGAGAAGGCAAAGATGACATATACAGTGTGGGCCAGGAGTTTCTGGGCATCTTCCCTAAGACACATGACAGCAGGATTGAGTAGACGGCACGTCTGTGCTCACCCTGCGATACATGCAATTCTTAGTGGCCACTTTCTTTTTTGTCCTTCCCTTGAGTGAACTGATACAGCACAACATTCCAGCAATGACACTTGGCCTGTTCCTATGTATGCCAAGCACTCTGATGACTCACAGAGGAACAAAAGCTGCTCCAATCTGTACTCTCTAGGAGGGAACACACTATTGACAGAAATCGTCACCAATAATGTGACACAAGAAAACATGAGAGCAATTATAAAGATGGGTCAGATATTTCATGTAGAACAACCAGCTAGAGTAATGAATTATTTGACAGAATCACTTGGGAAGGTACATTCCTGGGGGAAAAAATAAATTTTGGATCTGGTTCATATCAGCTGTCCAAGGAAAATAATCTTATGATAACCCAATCCAATATTTCATGCCTAATACATTATTTACTTTAAGACTATAAACAGGTGGGGGGTATGTCTTTCATTTAAAAAAGCAAACAAGGGAGAAACTAAGATGGCGGCAGAGATAAACACCGGGAAGTTAATGCCGCTCACAACAATTGATTAATACCTCAGAGAAACAACACGGACTTCATCCAGAACCACAGGAAGCCTGGCTGACTGTAAACTCTACAA